AGTGATTCATATGACACATTTTTTACGGCATTGGATTTCAAAGTACACCGGTGTCGCTGAAATTAATATATTTATTTTCAAAAATCATTCCATCCTTTACCTTGGATGGGCTAATAAACAACTGATTAATATAGTGTAAATCTAAGATTTTTGAAGAACAACATTACTATTTTTTTATACTTTGAGTAATTTCCTCATAACATAGACAAGTAATATTACAATCTAAATACGTATGGTATTTAATTACAATTTGTCCATCTTCGGAGGGGTTATGACTTTCCAACCTTCGCAAACATCAAACCATGTCAACCCGTAATGTGGGATTATTTTCACCAACATTTGAGGTTAATTAAGCTCTTATCCCGAAACACTACGCGTGCCGACCGTTCGACCAAAAAATAACAGTTTATATTTGTTAGTACCGACCAGCCAGATTAACCTGCTAAATCTAAAAATTGACCAATGTTTATCTTGGAGGTTTTGTGAAAGCATATCTTATTACTCATTCTGTTGATTAATGAAGTTAAAATGCAGAATAATGTTATATGAGATATCGTTTATACCGCCACTCTGTTTTGTCAGTGTATTATATTTTAGTTTTTGAGAGAGCGCCAAGTTGCGTCAGTGATTAGACGTATCGTGGACGATGTGATCGTGTTAACGTCCAAGTCAAATTAACCCCCTGTATATTTAAGACTATACCAATTACCGTCTATGTATTGCCGGTATTGAAATGAAGTGTTTAAGCTGTGATATACGTTTCACTGCTTAATTCACTACTTGTCCTTGATTGCCAGTGTTAGATCATTTAAACAAGCGAATACTGCTATTCAACGTAGTTGAGTCTGAGTTCAAGAGTTGCGGGCGAGTTCAAAACACCTCGGCTCCACGCTGGAGAATGTGTCAAACACACCGGTAATGATTTATTTGCAGAGTAATCGCAACTGTTTGTCTTTTTCAACTTTAATCAGCGAAGAAAAAACTTGCAGCGCAAACCATGGGTATGATAATATACGCAGGAAGCGGCCCTTATAGTACAAGCTATTGGAATTTGATTAGTAGTCGACTATACACAGAGCACAGACTGCCTTGATTTGGTCATACTGTGTAGTGTATGGATCATTCTATGTGTTTATATGGATCAATAACAAGAACATGGAAATGAAGGAAATTGACTAATTTAATAAAGCTAATAGAATAATTGGAGACACACTTCGACAAACCCTTACTTATTCGCACGATAACTTAGCGTTATATTATGCCACGTAATCACGGGAGATCTAATAATGCTGGCAGCGCAGGAAATGTCTGTATTTTTACGGTCTTAATAACAGAGAATTTATGTATTCTTTCCAACTGATATTAATTTATAGTAATTACTCATACAACAACCAAAATTCTCTTTGTTGCGATATTCTTTCTCAAACCATATACAGATAAAATATACATACATCGTGTAAATTTTGTGTCGCGTTGTTTCTGTTTCAAGCGATGCAGATATCCGTAACGACAAACAAAAACGTACACTTGCAAAACAAATCATACATGAATTGAAAATGAAACATCTGCTTTTTCAACTCGTGTTGTAAATGTCAAAACGCACGATAAATTGGTTCAAGATGGTTTTGGGAGCAATAAATCATGCCGTGAGAAAGTTGATGAAAATGAAATGAGAGAAACATTGATCGCTTGAAATTTGAGTTGGAATCTATCTGCAAATGACGAAACGAGGACGCCTAAACATATTTGGAACTCCGATTGAATTGATGCGTTTCAAAGGTTTTAAGTTGTCGACGCTGTGTGCTGTGTAATGTATAAACCGTACATGGTATGAGTTGGAAAGCCGTTTACTACACGATGAGTGTATATGTACTAATCAAATTTGTCTCCTATCCATTCGGCTATGCAACACTCTCTGAGCAGAGCGGAGGGGATCGCAGTTCTAACACCCGCCCTATTAGAACGGGTTACTTTCAAGCGAGTTTAAGCCCCTCGTCCCACACTTTTCTAGTCTGATACAGAGTATCATAACTTATTTATAGTATGTTGTATTCGATGCCCCCTTTTTATTTGCTCTTTGTATTTTATTTGATAGAACCTTTCGCCTAGTAAAGAATTTGATGAATTTAGATTATCCGCATCTTTCTTTCAATTTACATCTTTTGGGATGCACTGTCCTTTGTAACTGTCTTCGTCATACGATATATAATATGGAAATACGGAATGGGAATGTGGATACGTGCGTCTTGTTATAGTTCAGTATGTGCAGCAGACTCCATATAATTAACACGCAGCGTTCTTTTTGATTAACTTAAAGTGTCGAGTATCGCTGCCTGCATATGAACAAATAAATTGGACAGGGTATGGCATACAGTATGACACAGCCGACAACATCATCAAACGTGGCCGCCGTTATCCGTGTAAAAGAACGCCTCGGTGGGGGCTACTATAACCAGTTTGGGGTCGGTTTATTCGCAAAATCGGTATTTGAACACAGCGTTCACATCGCGTGTTTTCTTGTCCGTATATATAGAATGTTCAGATTCACTTACGGTCACGATGGCTGGAAATCAAAATAATTAGATCAGTGCAATTCATTATAAGTTGGTTTCCATTTTTTCCCGCTACCTGCTTTTTTAGCGTGGCGTAGCCGTGGAAAGTCGGGGAGAATTATACTAAACAGTACCAGTTTGTTGAATGACGCCCTCAATTGACTGTGATTTCATTATATGTTTGTGTGTGTTGAGAAGCTGCAGTGCGCGGCTAATAAAACATAATTAATGCACAACCACAACTGTTTACTTCATCGCGGTGCCCTCTAGCTAGCGGTGTCACCCTGCGGCAAGGTATTTGTAGGTGCATGTGATGGGGTTGAATGAATAACTTATTTCCATGACAACGAGCTTTACATGCAAGGCAAACAAAATATCGAAAGTATTCTCGCTGGGATAGATTGATGTGGTACATACATGGAGAAAGTAAAGTCCGATATGGCGGCACTTGGTATGATAGTGGTGTCTATACGATAATCGTCCGCTATACTGTGTTTTCATTTGCGTAATTAAGAAGTGTGTCCGTTGTTCGTGTTTCCAGTAGGGTTCACAATATAATTTCTTAAACTCGTAATATTTACATTGCGAGTAACGTTAGGAACGTATTCGCAGATATTACACCATTGGCTCAAACAATAACATAATAGTATAACTATTTGTCTGAGAGTACCAATTGTGGGATAGCGTGTTTTCATTGGAACTAGTGGTAACTTCAACAACACATTGTACTCGGACGCCATACTTGCTGTATCAGTAACATCTCAGTTTGATTTAATTTTATATTTCCTCTCTTAAAGTGAATCTACTGGAGAGTGTGGGCATTCCAACGCCAAACGTAATGGACGTAACTATTTAACGACATATATAAAACTAATCAAATCAAATATGAAAAGTTAATTACTTGATTTGGTATTTATTGATATTTGATATTTGGGTATGGACACCATTGTCTCATCTCATAACTCATCGTACTTTATCGCTGGCAATGTTCGAGTCATTTGACACCCGGACATTTCCGCTTATACGGAGTAAGATGTCCCGAGAAGAATAGTTATACGCTCTGTTATGAGGTATAATGTTTTGTTTTTTTCAATTCGCTTCTTAAACGGTTTATCAGATGATGAGTATGTGTTTACTTCGTGGAATATATAGAGGGCGCAATTCGTGCATATGAGACGTATATCACGAAATAAATTGGCGCTCCGTCGCCCTTTGTGACCAGGTACGGTCTGAAATAGGGCTAAAAGAATATAATCAAGGAAGTATGTGCATTTACAAGCTAAGAAAACGTGCTAGAGTGAGGAGAGTGGAGATGGAAGCCAGCGGCTGAGATCACGTGTCTATAAACTGATTATTAAATTCTTTCGTGGCGGGGATAACAACAGCCAGGGTGCTGTGGAGTTAATTTTGAATTCAATCACTGTTATGCGATATTTGTACCTATGTATGTTTGTTAACTTGCTGTGATTTGCCAATCTAAAGAGTCTAGGTTATACGTGGTTAGGGTAACCCAATCCCCACGTATTAAATGCCGCTGACCTATCAATAGACTATTCCTAATAAAATACACACTCATACCTTATTACTTTCTTAATAAGTGTATACTTTTTAAAACACGAAATACTATGACTACTGTGTAGGCCGTGTGTGGCGCCATGCAGTGTTATCATCACAATGGAACAGATCACGAAAACACGTTATTATTGTTGCTATGGCTACAATATATGTTAGAGATATGGCGCCACGCATTTTTATCGTTCACAATGCAACAGATCACGAAAACTCGTCATCGTTGCTGATATGGCTGTGTGTAGCGCAACGCAGTGTACCCATTCACATCGAAATAGATCGGGACGTGATTGACTGACAGTAAACTGCATGTGATGTAAAGTAATCCGTATATGAATTCCTGCTTCAAATCGTAGAATAATAACACGTGATGTGAAAAGCAAGACTCGTCAGATGGTCATATTCAGTTAAAACTAGAATTATTATTGGATGCTCAATTGTTTCATATCTCGGGTATCAACGTCAGGGGGATCGACGTGGAACGTGATATCTACGAACTAAAATTGCATTCGTTGTGAACTACAGAGGGCGCCAACACTCTAACTTGAAGACCCCTTTACAACACCGTTTCTAAACTGTTTATACATACACATGTACAAGTTGACATAACAATGTTCAAATTTATTTGATTTCAAACAACAGGTTATTTCCTAATTCTTCCAGGTGTGGTTTCAAAACCGAAGAGCCAAGTGGCGAAAGAGGGAAAGATTTGGTCAACTTCCGGTCCGGCCACCTGGTATTAATGGAAATGCCTACGATATGCCATTTACACCACGGCCAGATGGTTACACACAGGTAATTATAACAACCAAACAAATACTTTTCGTATTGGTAAATTTTACAAAAATATAATTTCATAAGCAATGGACCGCAACGTGTGTACTAGTATTTATTATCGTAACTAGCAGTCACGTGTTTATAGAATTAATCGTCACGCTGTGTAGTAATAAATATGGGTGAAATACAACGTATTCAAATCGTGTAGTGTTCATTGCGAGGTTATACGACGTAAACAAATCACGTTGTGCTTGATCTGAGTCACATGTGACGTATTCAACTTTCTAGTGTTCGATATGGGTCCAATACGACACACTAGTAGTACTCAGCTCATCAGTGTTCGATATGGGTCCAATACGACACACTAGTAGTACTCAGCTCATCAGTGTTCGATGTGGGTCCAATACGACACACTAGTAGTACTCAGCTCATCAGTGTTCGATATGGGTCCAATACGACACACTAGTAGTACTCAGCTCATCAGTGTTCGATATGGGTCCAATACGACACACTAGTAGTACTCAGCTCATCAGTGTTCGATGTGGGTCCAATACGACACACTAGTAGTACTCAGCTCATCAGTGTTCGATATGGGTCCAATACGACACACTAGTAGTACTCAGCTCATCAGTGTTCGATGTGGGTCCAATACGACACACTAGTAGTACTCAGCTCATCAGTGTTCGATGTGGGTCCAATACGACACACTAGTAGTACTCAGCTCATCAGTGTTCGATGTGGGTCCAATACGACACACTAGTAGTACTCAGCTCATCAGTGTTCGATGTGGGTCCAATACGACACACTAGTAGTACTCAGCTCATCAGTGTTCGATGTGGGTCCAATACGACACACTAGTAGTACTCAGCTCATCAG